TGGTTTTGGGGAGGGGGGGGGGGGCGACGCGGATGTGCATGAGGCACTCCTGGACGGTAGGTGCAAAGGATCGTCGTTGCAAACCGCCGTGTGCCGTGTCATGGTCTCAAGGCCAAGGGGTCGCCAACAATCGTCACCGCCCAACCCAATCACATTTCAAAAGCAACCTGCCTGTTGCCAATCACGACATCTCTCTCCTTCTCTCTCGTTCTCTCTCCCACCCCCAACAACACACCACATCTCTCTCTCTCTCCTCCAACAACACACTACACCTCTCTCTCTGACATCTCCAACAACAACAACAACACCGATACACCATACCTCTCTCTCTCTCTCTCTCTCTCTCTCTCTCTCTCTCTCTCCTCCAACAACAACAACAACACCATACCTGTCTCTCTCTCTCTCGCCTCCGACAACACACTACACCTCTCTCTCTTACCTCCACAGCTTCTCCAGCCACGAGGGCCGAACCACGAACTCGCAGAGCCCCGCCTCCGCCTGCTGTTCCGCCTGCCTCAATATTCCCGCCGCGGCCATGTCCAAGCCCAGCTTGTGGTTCACGGAGATGAGGGCTTCGAGAGTGTCGGGGTTAGGACCACTACCGCTGCAGCTCCTTCCGCCTCCGCCGCTAACGCTTCCAGGTCCACCGGCGCCGGACTCGGATCCGGCAACGCTCTGCGCACGCGCGATAAGAGAATGAAACAATCAGATATACACGGCACAAAGCGCACGTTCAGAGTTGTAGGTGGGGCAAACGGCAGCGAAGTCGGGTTTCCATGGTGGCGACGGTGGCGAGGAGTGAGTGAAGGTGGGTTGTAGGTGGGGCAGGGGCAGCAGCAGCAGAGGAGAGATTGATATTTCTTCGCAGCAAACGGTACACGTTCAGAATTATAGGTGGGGCAGCCCCAGCAGCAGCAGCAGCAGCAGCAGTGTAAGCAGCAGACTACGAACTAACAACACTGCTGTGGGCGACCAAGATGACTAGGGGCGCTTGCTGCCACCAGTTCGAATGCGAGGATGAAAACGACACGCCACACACACACACGCACAAGGTAGCAGCCGTCGTAGACGTGTGCAGTTTTCTTCTGTTGCTACCGTTTCTGTCTTTGATCCGGAGAATAGACTAATCTCCCCCATGCCGCCCCCTCACGGGGTCCCAGTTAATGGCATTTGGAAGTGTTTTGTGTTTTCAACCGCACTAAGACTGACGTCGTTTCATTGGTCAGCCGGTTAGCATGGTCGATGCTAACAATAAAAACACACACGTACTACCACAGGCTCCCAGACCAAGGCCTTTGGAAGTATTTCCTGCACACATTCTAACGAACGGCTTTTCATTGGTCAGCCGGCTACAGTAGCAGCGCGGTCGAGACTCTAACCAAGAGAAACATACACATACCTCCCCGCCCCCCGGGGGCACCGCAGCCGGCACGCCTTCCCAGGCCGCCCCCCACCCTACCCCCCCCGCGGCGAAGCCAAAGTCCGACTCCATCACCGAGGTCACCGACTCCGTCCGCATGCGCGTGCGCCGGCGGCCGTCCTGCTGGAACGCCCCCCCCCCCGCCCCGCCGCCGCGTAACCCCCTCAAGCCTAATTTTTAATGGCGAAGCCAAAAGACACACGCCGGTGGCCGGCGGCGCAGTTCAAGGGGGGGGGGGGGGGGGGGGGGGGGGGCACCTCGTTTTTTGGGGGTTTACTGGGGGAACCCTTGCCCCCCCCCCCCCCAGAGAACGGGACATGTTTCCCCCGGGCCAAGGAGTTTCCCCAGGGTCGGGGGGGGGGGGGGGTGGACCTATGCCTGCCTGCCTTAAAAGGAAAAACCTTTA